AAGTAAAGCCCGGCAGCAACTTCCAACCCCCGCACAACCGCACAACTCCCGCCCTCGGCCGTTGGCAGCTGGGATCGGCTCCAGCTCCCCCGCGACTCTGCAAAGGAGTAAGCAGGAGATAATGAATGATGAATTTTGGTGCTTTTTCAGTGGCTCCATCTCCTTTCATCATCTCACATGTCCTAACAGCTGCTGTTCCTTCACGCCTCTGTCTAGCTAGTTTGTGCACATTTTGTCTGACAGAAAATGAACCAAACCGAAAAAAGGAAAAGCAAGGTAAAATAAAAGGACAGGCGTGGATGGGAACTAGCACTTCAGCAGATGTGGGGAAAGGATAGAAGAGGAAAACTGCCTTCAGTAAACATTTGGAGCTTTTAAATTACCTTTACGGAGCAGCTGTGGTTAGTCATTTTTTTTACCCTTTGTCCTTTCTATGTCTATGCCACTGGTCTCCGGTTTTAATATGAGCTCATTGTAAATCCATCCATTGCAAATGGAATCCAAAATTTGCTGTGAAGGACACTTTTTTTAATTTAAAAAAATTAAAAAATAATGAAGCAATGGCAGAATGGAAGAATACGTCACAACAAACTATTTTTTTGCCACAGATTTTTATAATGAAACCCAACTGCAGGTGGTGAACACAGGCTGCTTTAAGCTCTGCTTTAGTACACAATACGACAAGACAATGTTAACTGCTGTATCTTACCGTCTTTTTTTCTTATGATTTTTTTGTTTATAATCTAAAGAAAAAAATTCAGGTTTAGGTTTTGGTCTAAGAGACCCGTAGGTAGTTGACATCTTTCAATACTACAAACTCTTGCCCTCGACAATATTACTCAGTCTTCAGTCCTCTACCATTCATTTAACAATATTCATTGTCAATCAGTTTTTTTTTTCAGTTATAGATTTATTCACTGCCCTGCACATGGTATTTTAAGCTCTTGTAAAAATGTCTGGAAGTGAGTGCAAATAATCCTAACAAATAACTCAAAGCTTCAGTGCTCATTTGTAGATACTTTCAAGTTGGAATGGCTTCTCATCACAACATCTAAATAAAAAACTAAAAAAAAAACTATAGCCTGTCCATTCCGATACCTAAGCCCAAATGCTCAACTTAACGTCCCCTTAGCAATGGAGGAGAATAGAATGTATCACATTGATATTGTTATCGGCAGATACCTCAAGTTGCAGTATTGATATAGGACATGAAAACTTGTATCAAGCCATCCCTACTTTCAAGTGTAAGTAAGTATGTGGTTTACACTGAGATAATTAGTTAAATTGATCGTTATGTTCAATATATAGTACAGCAGAAGCCACGTTTGCAGTAAAGAACAGGTAAGGTTGGTGGATATAGAGGGCTCAGCAAAGCTCTTTACAACACAGTAAGCACTGACTCCGAAATACAATTCACCAGAGAAAGAACAAAACACAAACCTCTCTGTTTTTTTGTTTTTTTTTGCGCTGTCAAGACCCTAACTTTTCGACTCTCCCTCCATCTCTGTAAAAGCAGTTGTGACTGTTCATGTATGATTTTTGTTCGATGTTTTTCTACATTAAATATGTTATTTCAGCATGGTTTCTGCACCACGTGTATTGTCGCAATAATACAATTTATTGTGAATGCTTAAGCATATAAATTAGTTGCATGGACGTTCATTGACATGGAGAATATATAAAAAAATATATATAAAAACAAGCACCATGAACAGCTACGCTCTGCAAAAGTGCGTAATAGACTTGCATAAAAGAGAAAAAATGTGCCATTGACTGGGAGATTGAAAACTGCAGAAAGTGTATTGAATCAGCACCTTGTGCAGCTCCCTATTCCTTTAGCAACACAAACAGTTGAAAGCAAGGGTATTCAATAAAAAGTAACTGAGGTCCAGTTATTAATATAAAAGGTCCAAACTAATAGCTCTCCCCTACGTAATATTTCATAGCTTCAACAATCCTAATTGTCAATTTTTAATAATGTCTCATGCAAAAAAATGTAAGGAAATGTAAAGAAAACAAAAACGCCAGAAAAAATAAAGGGGGGGAAAATGGAGGGTTCAAATGGTTCAAAACAGAGCTTTGAACACCACATTTTATCTTTTAATTATTCTTTTTTTTTCTTAATGAGAGACATAGGGACATCACTGACCTGCCAGTAATTTAATTGTGTTTGGTTTTTACCACACGGCTCATCTTTTTATTTTCCCTTGGCAACAGTGTTTGAGCACTCCTTCACAACTGCCCCATCACTAAACCATTTTTTGTGTTGCCCCAAAATCCAAGATACCCTAAGTCAGTGGTTCTCAATTTTATTTCTGTCATGCCCCCCAAAGGACAGAACTTTTTCCATGAACCACACACCCGAAAATTCAGATACTTTTGAGAACCTTTTAACATTTTTTTTTTTAACATTATTTTTAACATATTCTTATCTGTACAAACCACTGTTGGAGTTGCTGCCACCTAGTGACTGGAGGATTGTTATTCAAGCATTACAGCAGTGGTACACTTATGTCCAGCGTGACATATTCCATTGGAAGTCACTCACACACACCCGGCACATCAATACGCCACCCCAAGGGGCCCCGCCCCACCACTTGAAAAGTACTGCCTTAAGTGAACATCCGTTTGCACACTGCTGTGCCTCATAACTATCTATAGTCATGAGGCATGCATGTCTTTCATACTGGGCCTGCTGTCCGGTTAATTTGTGTCCCTTCAGCTTGAACTTCTTTGATAACTTTGGTCAAACGAGTTGGGCTTTGTTCCGTGGTAGTGCTACGAAAAGAGTTTTGAACTGCTTACTGGAAGAATGAACCTAAATTTATCCGTCGATTTTATTTATTTTTATACAAACCGTTTGCAATTCAGTCATCACTGTCTCTTTCTCCTTGCTCTGGTGACCTGTTATTCTTAGAATCATCCTTGGGTAAGCCACATGTGAAATCCAGAGTATAAAATAAAAAAAGCTTGCAGTGAAAGACATTCTTTTGACAATATTATAGTCATTCCATCAAATAAACCGCCAAGAGTATCTATACCAGGAGCACAAACATGAGGTGAAACATAGGTATGGAGAGATGTGGATTCTTCTCAATGGAAATGATATAAAAGGGGGAAAAGGGTAAAAAATGCTAATTTTTGTGTAGTGTTTTTAAGCACCTCACACATTTAACAAGGTGAATAAGCATTGAAACCCTTGTGTTTCGAAAACTCTACCAGTGATTAAGGTTAATTGTATCTTTTTTCGTCAGAGAGATGGCTAATTACAGCCAAAACTGTCCTTGCAAAACATTAGAAGAAAACAACTCATCCAGTTCGACCTACAATGTGCCCCTAAATTTCTGGATTTTTATGTGGTCTTGGGTCATAAAGCATTAGCTGTAATGCTAGACTAATTGAGAAATTGAGAAAAAGATGAGGAGAAGATAGAGATTAAACAAAAACAGACAGAAAACCACATCAAGTTTTGATATGAAGAGTGCTGTGTGTCCTACTCACCAGAATTAGGCTGTCCGTGTTTGCCCGGTCGTGCTGACTCTGAGCCATCAACGGACTTCACCTCCAGCAGGTATGAGCTTTTTGCTTCACGGTCAAAAACAGTCTGCGTGTAGATAAATCCCAGCTCCGGGTCGATACGGAAAAACTTGTGGTCACCGCTGCGATCTTCCAGAAGTGAGTAGGAGATCTCCACGGGCAGAATGAACAGGAGCAGAGCAAGACACAGACATGTTAAGGACGTGAGGTCAAAGGTCAAGTGACTTCTACTGGTTTGAAGAATGACACAAATTTACTTTCCTTGGTTGTTATTGGAACATTGGAGCAACTTATTAAGATTAAATTTAAATTTAAATCCAAATTCATGGCCTTGCTAAAAACAATTGTCAGCCAAATGGATATACTGAATGATGAAGAGGTACTTGTTTACTGATTTATTTGAGGAAATTGTTTTTCCAATGCATCATAATTAGCTCTTAGACTAATTCAGAAGTCAATTTAGAAAATTCCACAGTCATTTTTTTTAAAAATGAAAACTTTGCCATCTATGATGTCAACGAGTTGACAGCCGTTGAACTAAGCAGGTAGTGAGATGTCAGAAACCTATTCCGGTGTTATTTAGTTTCCTTAACCCAGTGGTTGCCAACCTTTTATTGCATGTGACTAGGGATGTCATGATTACACAGTATCACAATTAATTGCGGAATTAAATGAACACTTGTTCAGTGCAACTCAAACGGAACGAAAACAGAGTTATACAACACCCGCGTGACGCTGCGTGTGTTAACAAGGCTATCAAATCAGCCGTGCATCATTATTCTGGCTTCAGAAGAAAATGACTAGGGTGTCGTCGTGGATGACGGCTTGCCAGCATTTAAATCATGCCGTAAAAAAATGGCAGTGAAAGGAGGAAATATATCCAATATGTTTCATCCATCCACCTTTGTTCACCAAAGTAAAGGTAAATACACAGCAACTGCATTAAATTAAGTCAAGTGCTTGGATTGGTAGGACATTAAATGTTTGCGTGTCATTTGCAATAAACTGCGTACGAATACAACACAGTTTCGGCTGTCAGTGCAACGTGACAACTTACACGGCATTCGCATCACGTTACATCATGCTGTTCGTTTGTAAACATAAAGTGAGGTTGATTTTTTTTGTTTTTTTTTGTTTCAGTGTCAGTGTGCAGTGACCCATTAAAGGAAACACCATGTAGTCTTCTGGAGTCAGTAAACATTTAGCATTAGCTCCTTTTACTGTCTCCCATCAGTGAGTAAACAATGGGTTTGTGATTCCAACACTATGGGATGTTTGTTTCATTTATTACTAATTTGTGTATGTCATTGTAATACGCAAAATGTTTCATATATGGCAACATAAAGCTGACTGATTATTTGACAATTGATGACCCATATATATATATATACATATATATACTGTACATATATACATAAATACATATATATACACACATATATAGAGTATATATATACAAACACAAATATTGGGTCATATTGCTAGTTACGTAATTATATATTATGTGATTGACTGTGATTGCTATATATTTTTATAATGATAGCATGAGACCCTAACACCTGTTTTTAGTGTTCATGGAATTTTACACATTCATAGTGTTGTGAAATCAGTTAATAATCATAATATCGTGATAAATTCTCACAATAATCGTACCAAGAAAATCTAAACTCGTGACATCCCTACTTGTGATCCCATTTTGACATCACAGACACATTTTAGTAGGTCTGACTTGTGCAGTCACATGACTGCAGCCATCAATCAAGATGCGCCTGTGACGACATTTTTCACATGACTGCAGCCATCAATCAAGATACGCCTGCTACGACATTTTAAAAAAAAAAAGTATATATATATATATTTCAGGCAACCCCATTTCAATTCCAGACTCTCCACGCTTGAAAAACACAGCCGTAACCAATTGGCTCAATGCATGTTACAAAAGATCCTGCCTTGAGGGGTTCAGTAAAAATGTCTTCACTAGCATTCCACCAGCTTCCGCTATCCTAACGCTGATGTGTGCCAGCAAGTGACGTATTATTTTCTTTCAATTATCATTAAAATCTATTCTTATTACATTCTGCACACGTCTTAGCTTTGAACCAACTCAATTTAACTTTTGTTAGTGTTTAGATAAGAGGAACTTTGTGTTCTAGATTAAAGATCAGCGATAAAGACAGAGATAATTTATTTTATTTTCTTGACCCAAATTTAGTTTTTAAACATGGGAGATAAATGTTTGAGTCATTCAGAAACAAAACATGCAGATGAGACAGAATTGTGTTTGTCTTACATATACATATAGATGGACATGCTGCTCCAATTACATTAACAATAGTTTATTATTATACTAAATATTTTGGTTATTTAAACTTGGAATTGAAATATATCCATTCAATTTATAATTTCATTATTGTAATCTAATGGAATCATGAGGTCAAATAGAGTGTCCTTGTTCTAATTTATTCTAATAAAAATCTCATAGCAACAAGAGAACTTTTTTCAGATCCAAATAAATAAAAAATCTTCTACCTTTCCATTCAGACCCAAGTCCAGGTCATTAGCTGAAACTTGAAAAACCAACATTCCTGTCTCTGCTCCTTCGGTGACAGAAGCCTCGTAAATGGATGAAGTGAAAAAAGGCACGTTGTCATTTACATCTAAGAAAAACAAACAAAAAAACACCCACAGTGTTAGTATTATTAAGATATCCTAATACATACATAAAACTCACTTATACACTGGCTTAAACAAACATTATACCAGGGTTAGCATTCTTTCCTTAGATATATTTTTCAGGACTATCCCTAATGGCTCCTCCCACGGCAGCCTGTGTCTGCTGCAAAGACTCACACTGTAAATTTATTCGAGCTTCCGTGGTGTAGCGGTAAGCACGACCGTGCTGCGAGCAGTGAGCAGAGAGTCCTGGGATAGATTCCCAGAGGACCCACATATCCCTAATGGCGGTCTGTGACTTTGGCAGCTTGTGAGTTACAACCATGTACTTAATGGCGCCTCCTGTGGCAGACTGTGTGGGTTGCAATGACTCACACTGTAAATTTTTACCATTGTGGGACTAATAAGGGAGACAATTAGCATTAAGTTATCACATCATACACTTAGACCTTATCTCTCATTCTTTGGTAGTGTTCTTTTCTAGCCAGGATAAATCACATTAATTAACGCTAACAACATAGAAATAATAGACAGTAAAAAAAAAATGCCAGCAGTTTTTATAGTGAAAGTTTTCACTGCTTACTTCTCATTTTAAGAGTGACTACTACCCTTTGGTCTCTGTGTACAGCTCACAGTGTTGATACTTTCTTTGAAAAATTTGCAAGCTTAAGTCTACTTTTTTTTTTTAATCAAACAATAAAACAAGTATGACATACTGAGTATACAGTATATGATACATGTTACTCAGTACATTAAGATTACCTGTTAACCGTAATTATTTCTTGTGAAAGAATTTTTTTTTTTTTTTATGATTAAACTACACAATTCAAATCCACAGCGTAAATCCTGCAAGAGCAAATTTGTGTATGACATTTCCTATTATTTCTACTGCCATTTGTTATTTTTTCAAAGTAAACATGGCATTTCAAAGTAATGCTTTTGATAATTGAACCACAATGAACCTAAAATCATGCATTTATTTAAAACACACAAACATAACATTATTCTTAGGTGAGAGTTCTGGCAGGGACGGGAAAGGAAATAAAATTCTTTCATATCATATGTATATTTATATAACAGATCCAACAGATTTATATATGATAAATATGCACATATATATATATATATATACATATATATATATATATATATAGCTTGACTATATATGTAGCTTGACTAATGGTGTCTGTTAAATGCATTGTAATGTAATATATATATACATATACGTATAATTACAAAGTCTATTCTGTCATTAGTAAGTAAACAAAGACCCAAACATCTTGTTGTTTTGAGTTCCTCTGTGCTTCAAAATATAAATTTACATAAAATCAATATTAATATTAATACCCCTATGCCTAGGCATTGTTTTAATATTTTAAGGCAAATATTGTGCACATTAAGACCTTTTTATTTTCTAATATATCCTTAATTTAAATTATTAATGTTCAATTCTGTAGAGTTCATACTTTTTTAAAAATGAAATTTCCTACCAGTGACATTGACATAGACAGTTGTAAAAGCAGCCAGCGGGACCGCCGCAACATTCTGGGCTCGAACTTTCAGCATAAAATTCCTGGTGGTCTCGTAGTCCAAAGGTTCTGCCACCAGGATGGAGGCGGAGCCGTCCTCTCTATTTGGTGTGAGGTAGAAGCGAACGGGCAGGTTAGTCTCTGGCACCAATCCATCCTCCAGGTTATAGGTGACTCTGGGGTCTCCTAGAGGTGATGTGGCCTTGATGGTCTGAGGAGGAGACAGGAAATGAGGTAAGAACATACAGTAAATCTGGGGTAAAATATATATATATATATATATATATTTGTTTCACACAATATTAGGAAGGGAAAGTCATTAACATGTCATTTGGAACAACTTGAATTAAGTCTAAGTCCAGGACTTCTGATTCCACTTAGACTTCATTATTCGAACAATGCTTCTCAGAAATTAAAATACGGAATATTGTGGTGTGTACTGTATAATAGTACGATTCAGTAATTGTGATCGAATCCTTCATGTCACTCAAGTCTCACTAAGTCATTCTGAATAAAAATATAATATTATAAGTGT